ATTAATATGGATATAAATTTTCCTTTATGTAAGAATTGGTTTCTTTCATTTTGTTTTTAGCCCCACCGATAGTGAAGCCAAAGCCCCCGAGTGCCACATCCATCCCGGCTACATTGAAAAGCATGCAGGACGAGTGGGACGCCCTCATGCTGCACACATTTACACAACGCCAGCAGCTGCAGACTGCTAGGCAGGCAAGTTTACTAAAAATAATTGTTCTCAGTCATGTCAGTGGCAGAAGAATAATTTACAGCTATGAGATATTGTAGACTCACATATGGAATTATTTTATTTAATGCTTTTTTGAAAATTAATTTAATTTCTTATCTGTGTACTACTACACTAAATATCAAGAATACTGTGCCCTTTGCCAGTAGTTTACTTAAAGATAAGGTTAATGATAATCATAAAGTTGCTATAGTTGCCACAGAGCGAATAAATCATAATTATTGCAATAAACTTATATAAAAACGGCTAAACACTCACATATATATATGTGAGTGTTTAGCCGTTTTTATAGTTTGAATAATCAAAATTATTGTTTTTAATGTGATTGATAGGACATTATCAAAGAGTGTAATGATGATATAAATCATGTATACTGCAGGAGCTGAGCCACGCTCTGTACCAGCACGATGCGGCGTGCCGGGTGATTGCGCGCCTCACCAAGGAAGTGACGGCGGCGCGCGAGGCCCTCGCAACGCTCAAGCCACAAGTAGCCGTTGTCGCGCCACAGCCCACGCACACGGTAAATTATACAGATACAATTATTAACAGTGTTTAAACAATTTTGACACAACCTCAGTACTTTTTACACTAGTTATTTCAGGAAACAAAGTACGAAAGGAGATTAATCGGAAAATATAGACTTATGTCAAAAAATATTTCATATCACATTTGCATATTTGTATTTGTTTGAAGGTGGAAACGGGTGCGGCGGGTGCGGCCAGCGCTGGGGGCGGTGCGGCGGCGCTGGGCATGTCGGGCGAGGTGGTGGCGCGGCTGCAGGAGCGTGCCACGGCGCTCACGCAGGAACGCAAGCGGCGCGGTCGCACTGTGCCCGAGGGCCTGCTGCCCCCCGACCAGATACGCGCCTTCCTCACGCTCGCCTCGCATCCCGTGAGTAAACACTCTTACATAAAATAGAGCTCACGTCTCATCTCCTGGATTATATTGATTGACGTTTAAAACTAAGTTCAGATAGTTTTTTTACTGAGAATATTAGAGTATTAGTTTAAAAACATAAAATGTCGACATTGTTTTAGCCTTTTTGAAAACTGACCTATCTGTATGCAATATGAACTATTTAGCGATAAATATTCTGTGATTGCTACAACCTAAGCTAATGAATGAGTTTTTTCTAAGGGTCTGCACTCTGCGAGCGTGCCGGGCATCCTGGCTCTGGACATCAACCCGTCGGACCAAAGCCGGCTGCTGACGGGCGGCAACGACCGCAACGCCACCGTCTTCAACAAGGACACGGAGCAGGTGGTGGCCATCCTCAAGGGGCATACCAAGAAGGTGACGCGAGTCATCTATCATCCCGACGAGGACACAGTCATCACTGCCTCCCCCGACCATACTATACGCGTCTGGAACGTGCCCACGTATGTTTTCCATGGTGTCATTTTCTATTGAAAAATAAGATTAATAACATCTCTTGAAAAATTATTGAGTTGGTTTTGTTGTCCAGATCTCAAACATCTGTAATCCTGCGGTCGCACGACGGGCCGGTGACGGGACTGTCGCTGCACCCCACCGGCGACTACGTGCTGTCCACCTCCACGGACCAGCACTGGGCGTTCTCAGACATCCGCACCGGCGCTTTGCTCACCAAGGTGAGCGACTCCTCCGGCGTCAGCCTCACCACCGCGCAGTTCCACCCCGACGGCCTCATCTTCGGCACGGGAACTGAGAACTCGCAGGTCAAGATTTGGGACCTGAAGGAGCAGAGCAACGTGGCCAACTTCCCCGGGCACGTGGGCCCCGTCACATCCATCTCCTTCTCCGAGAACGGCTACTACCTGGCGACGGCGGCGGAGGACGCTTGCGTCAAGCTGTGGGACTTGCGCAAGCTGAAGAACTTCAAGACGATTCAGCTAGAGGAGGGGTACGTGATCAAGGAGCTGTGCTTCGACCAGAGCGGCACGTACCTGGCCATCGCGGGCAGCGACGTGCGCGTCTACCTCTGCCGCCAGTGGCAGGAGCTAAAGGTGTTCAACGACCACACCGCCTCCGCCACCGGCGTGCGCTTCGGCCGCAACGCGCAGTACCTCGCCTCCACCAGCATGGACCGCACGCTCAAGCTCTACGGCCTCGAGTGATTCTCCGCGTGCAGCGCTCGGTGCGAGGTTCAAGTTATGGGACATTATGACAGTGTGTTGTTGCAACCTAAATATGTTCTTAAATAACTAAAAATCTCATATCACAGTCATTGGTATGATGAGGCACAGAAATATGTATATGCTACAGTTAATATTTTATCAACCCACTTTTCGTCAGAGCTGATTTGGACCAATGTGGCAAAATGTGATGCCAGAGTATATAATTTTAAGTAATATTACTGAACTTTTTTTTTACCCTAGCTTAATATTTTCCTAGCGTAAGTAACCTTTTTAAGAATTAGAATAAAATATTATTTGCAAAGTAATGATAATTCCTTTCTCCTTGACTTTCCCCGTATAATATAAATAAAGGGAAAAAAAACATTTTTTTTAGTATCACTTATAGCCATAGAGAATTGAGATTCACCAAAGATAAAATTGAATACAAACAAAATGTAGTACAATTGTTTATTTTAAATAATTTACATTAAAACATCATTTAAATATATACACATAGATTACATAAGCATATTAACATAAAACTCTATCTACCGAATTAAAAATTAAACGTGGTCTTTTTGCTTGACAAGGAATTGTTGCGAAGTTGGCCCCAGACAGCTGTTCCCGCCAACTCGCAACATAACCTCCAAATATCACAAAACATCCTTCACTATTGTATCATACACTCTTGTACATTAGAACCAAACTAAACCTAATAGAAAATTTACTTTTTTAAACTAACAGGCATAACTTTGTAGCCACATAATTTATAGTAAAACCATGATTCCGAATAATGTCACTACGACTTTCATTGTGGCATTGGATATGTTAACTCATTCATAAATCGATGGCTCTTACGTAAGTTATAGTATATTTGAAACGAAAAATTGAAAATTATTTAGTACAGAAAATATGACAACATAATTAGATAGCACAAAAAAATTAACAAGGGGAAAAGGCATTTTCCTTTTAATAAAAAAAGTCAAGTAAAAGAGTGCTGGGAAAAATTATTTTTTAAACATAACCATTATGTTAATACATACTATTTTACATAATATAGTGAATGTGTGCCTAGTTCTTAGCACAGCAACAAAGTATTTGTTTTTGTTGTTTACTTGAATTTCTTCTCGAATACATACATATTATACAACATTCAAGCTCTCTTCTGGCATATGTAGACAGATAAAGCCTCCAATAAATATCAAAGAATAAAGTTTTTTTCGTTTAAAAAAGAATGAAAAAATGTGATGAATTTAACTTATATGTTGTTTTGAAGTGGTAATTTTGTTAGCTTTTCGCGACATTGAGTTTTCTATGTTTATTTTGTTTTCAAACATATTTTTATTATGTGCATTGAACACATAGGACAATAGAGGGAACGGCTTCGGCATTTGGACAGTATTGCAAACTATAAAATGCAATTTGTATTGTTACACCATAAACCTAGCGCATGTAAACATGTCACGATGTTCAAAATAACATTTAGGAATCAATCAAGTGATGTATAGGAAGAAGAGGCCTCGGGGGCGAGGCGGGCGGGAGTGGGGGCGGGGGCGGGGCGCGCGGGTCATGCGAATATCA